CGAGAGCTAAGTGGTGCAGGGATTCTTTCTGGAGTAACGAGAATGTTCTAAAATTGATTGTGGTGATGGTTGCACGATTCTGAATACACTGAAAGCCAGTGAATTAGACACTTTAAATGCGTGAATTATATCTCATTAAGTTTTTTTTTTTTTTTTTTTTTTTTTTTTTAAAAGCTGTACTTTTCTTGGCTTCCACCTTCTTTCCACAAATCCTGGATGCTCTCTGGGGCAAAGGGCCAGGCCAGGTCTTCTCCATAGCAGGCAGGGCCTCTGGGTGGAGCACAGCCTCAGCCACTCCCTCTTCCCTTCCTCACCTCCAGCCCCCCATGCTTAGTGGCTGGGCCCAGACTCTTGCCTTCTAGGACATGCCTGCCATAATGAGGTCTCAGTGACTCCTCTTTGCTGACCCTGGACCAGCAAGCTCAGACAGCCTGGGATGGAAATGGCCACAAAGCCCAGGTCAGGTGGGTGGTTCTCTCAGGGGCAGGGCATCCTCAGACAGAGTGGGGGATGAGCAGGATGTAGAGCTCAGAACCTGGTGGGATCTCAGTTTCCCCTTCCCTCCTCAGGAAGATGGCCCTCTCAGCCACTGGCCAGGGAGGGGCTTCTCTCAGGGAGCCCCTTCCTAGGAATGGTAGGCAAGAAGGGGTTGGGATTCATCTATACTTTCACGCCACAAATGTTCATCAATACTGGCTGCATTCCACGAATCATTATGTTCAAGGAACCACTGGGCATGCCCATTGGTGACCCAGCCTCTGCCTTTAAAAGGCTAGGAATTCAGTGGGGGAGTAAATATAATTAGTTCTGTGACTGGGGTAAGAAATGGCAATGAAAGGAAGAACATTAACTAGCCTAAGAGTGGGGGAGAAGGTCAGGAGAGGCTGCCTGGAGCACTACATCTTGAAGACCGAGTGGGAGATAGCCACATGAAGAAGAGGAGTTGGGTGGGAAATCATGGGAAGTGTGTTCCAGGCAGAAGGAACAGAATGTGCAAAGGCCTGAAAACATATGTAAGAGAGTAGTTCATTTGGAGAACTGCAAAACAAACTTCAGATAGTTCAGTCTGGTTGGAGACCAGAGTATGAGATGGAGAGGGCCAAGAGATAAGGTTGGAGAGGTAAGGAGGGACAGACCATCTGTAGCTTAAATAGGAGGAGGTCCAACCCCACCCTCTTCCTCAATAAATCCACCACTGTCACCCACTTCCTGCTCTTGCAGGACTCCTACCTGAGCAGGGACCACAGTGCCAAGCAGAGAAGAGACCAACCAGGATCAGGAGCAGTGAGACCGGCACCACTACCAGCAGCACATCTTTGTAGGAGGACTTCCCTGGTGCTGGACATGAAGGAGTGCGGTCAGAGGTATACAGATACTTCATAATCCCTCAACCATTGACCACTGGCACTTGACATACCTGCATCATGATGGCAGCTCTCCCAGGGAGTGACTGTGGCCAAGTCCCAGCTGACAGGGTTGGAGACAATGCAGGAATAGGCCACATCCTTGTCTCCTGGTCCCAGTGAAATGCTGAGCACCTGTCCATCTATGAAGAGGCTGTGTGCTTCCATACCAAAGTCCATTGTCCCCTCCTGTCGCCAGCTATAGGTTACATCACTGATGTTGGGGGCCCAGCAGGACAAGAAGACCTGACAGGTCTTGGGGGGCTGAGCATCCTCTGCTACAGCGATGAACACTTGCACCATGGGCCTGGGCACTGAATCTGGGCAAAAACAGTTAAAGCAGGTGTGAGTTACAGGGATGCTGGGAAGGCCTAGATTCTGGCTCTGGGATCCATGCAGGGTTAGATGCCCTCTCTTGTTTCAAAACCTTGACTGCCCATAGCACAGGAGCTAAACTCCTTAGCATGGTATTCAAAACTCTTTATGAAATGATCCCTGTCAACCTCTCCAGCTGTACCTCCTGCTAGTCCTTCCTGCTCATTCTAATTAATTTGAGTTCTCTCAAACATGTCATGCTATTTCATGTCTTTCATGCTTTCACATGGCTTATCAGTGCACATATATGTTTTTCCTTCTTGTCCTCCTAGGAAACTCCTACCCATCCTTCAAGGCCCATCTTGGACACATTGCTTGAAGCTTTCCCTGATAATCCAGGTGTGGCTCTGAGCTCTCTAAGCACTGTCTATTCTTTTTTGTAGCACTTCTCTCACAATGCTTGTATATCAGTCATTCAGCAAGAGACGATAAGCATTTATTAAGTCCGGCAAGAAAACGAACACATTCCTGGCTTTTTGGAGCTTCCAGGTTGGTGAGGAAGACAGATAATGACAAGTGATTATGAATAATTAAATAAAATAATTACAAAGATGTGAAATGCTGTGAAGGAGGAGCCCAGAGGAAGGGTCTCCCTCTTGTTATTTCGATAACCTTAGCTCTCTAGCTCTGGCAAGTAGGAGGTGCTCAATACCTGGGCCATTGAACAAACCAGTGTCTTGGTATGCTAAACCATGGCTCCCCTTTCCTATATATGTTGATGAATAAATTCTGGGTCTTGATGGCAATGGGGCCAGTGGGAGAGCATTCTGGTGACAACAGGAGAGCTTAGTCTCTGACTGCATTCCAAAGTCAAGCAGAGTGAAAACCTCATTAATGCCAGCTCAATCTGGTGGGATTTGTGATATGAAAAAAGAAATGATTTTCTGGGCACACTAATAGTATAAACAAAGATTACAGGGGGGATATTTATACCACTTAAGAGGACAAGCTGCTTCCAAACATGATCAGGCACAGTAGAAACACCCATTGACATTTCTAGTAACTGATCTGCTAATTCAAATCATTCTTATCTATTGTCAAAGCAGAGCTCCTAAGGACGGCTGCTTGGCAGCTTTATGCAATTAGTTCTAATCACTCTATGTATTTGGAAGCAATAAAACAGCAATTTCCTTAAAATCTGTAATTCACATGCCGAGAACAAGGCATTTTAGAGGTTAGTAGTGTGGGTGCTGCATGTATTATCACAGTCTATGTCCTCATTTCACATGTGTGGCAGCTGAGACTCAGAACAGGGGAGAGACTGGCTGCCTGTGTGGTTGTGTAGGTTATTCACTGCACAAGGGCATTGCATTAAGGGAGCTAAAGGGGTAACAAGCAGGAATGGGGTGCTGAAAACCAGCCAGCATTCTGCTTGTCAAGAAGTGCAAACTGGTTCAGGGCTGCGGGCTGCGGGCACCTTCTGCACATTGGCCCCCTGAGTAGCTTACGCAAGGACAGCTAGTTAGCTGTCCTTGAGGGGTTGAGACACTGCCCCAATTTGCTTACAGCCTTTCTCTCCCTTCGATTTTCTCTTCCCAGATGTTACTTCTACTTTCTTATCTTAAATTTGGACTTTTTCTCCTCCCTACTGTATCCAAATTTATGAGGTTTTACTGAAATAGTAGTTTGGGGTCTCTCACACCTCTTTCCCAAGCTGTTAAATGGACAGATAAGAGCTAAAAGACTATTCTTCCTTAACCAGCAGAAATATGGTGAAGGTGGTAAAGGTGGTGAACTGGTGATGGTGGTGAAGGTGGGGGAGATGGTTATGGTGGAGATGGAGATGGAGGTGTAGTTGTTGGAAAAAAAGGCTCATTTAGTCTCCAGCTACCCCAACTTTGGTGATAAATGCAGCTTCATGAATCCACCCAGCTGGGCCCTGCCATCCCACAAAATTATGAGAAATAAAAATACTTGGTGCTTTTAGCTGGTACATTTTGGGATGGTTTGTCTTACAATGATGAATGACTGAGAGAACCCATGAATGCTATATACTTAAAATCTCTCCAACAAAGATCGTTTAAGAAATATAAAGTAAAAGTTCTATGCTTTTAATTATAGTTTTGTAATTTAGTTTTTAAATAAAAAACACATTGTGTCATAGTTTAATTTACAACACTTTTTTTTTCCCCTTACTAGTGGTACATAAAATTATAGCATGTCTTATAATCTATGACGATACTTTGGAATTGATGAAGCACAGCCAGGCTTTGTCCTAGATACTTTTGCAAACACCCCTGCATTTCACCCTTATAGGCACTGTAAAATGGTAATATTACAATGCCCAATTTACAAATAAGAAAGGTGAAGGTCAGGGAGGCTAAACAGTGTGTCCAAGGCCATGAGCCAAGGAAAGACCCAATTGGAGTTCAGAAAAGGACTGTGGGATGGCAAAGCCCAGCTGCTCCAGATAGCAGCTCATCTGGGAATACCTGATGAGATTTCTTAGATGTGACTGCTGGGGAGCAGATGTTCCCTGAGTTAGCAACATGGCCAGAGACCAGCAGTTTCTGGATCCCAGCTCTCCCCAGCTCCCACGGCTCAGGATGCCTGCCTGGTGCTTTGTGGGGGATGGGGTCAGGGAGTCAGAGGTGGGTGCACTCACCATATACCTTGAGCTGAAGGGTCTGAGTCCAGGCCCTACCCCCTGTGTCCACCATCAGCACAGAGAAGTTGCCGTTGTCTCCAGACTCCAGTGGCCCAAGCTCCAGGCTGAGGTTGCTGTGAAGCTTGGCTCGGCCCAGAAAGCGAGAGTGGTACAGAGTCTCCAGGGAGCCCCGGAAAAAGGTGGCCAGGAGCTCCTCCGAAGGCCAGAGAGATCGCCAGATGGCTTCACGGACTTGGAAGCCAGGGGGGCGCTCTGCCACCAGCAGCACAGAGTCCCCAACCTTGCTCAGCACTTGGGCACCAATAGCTGCAATGGGAAGTAGTGCTGAAAGAACAGAGCCCTGGTCACTGCCTGCCCCATGCTCCTCAGCCCTCTCCTGAATGCAGCTGAGCTGCTATGGAGCGAATTAAGGCCACTCCACCCACACTCTCTCCACTCAAGTTGAGGGTGCACTGTGCCAGGTACTGTGATAAAACTGGTCCCTGTGTTCATGAAGCTCACAGAGAAAGTCAGACACTCAAGCAAGCAATTAAAATAAATTATGTTAAGTCCCATGATGGAAGAAATGGGGTGTCCTGGGAGAACACAGGTAAGGCGATGGCAGGCCTCACCCAGCCTTGAGCGGCTCCAGAGAAGAAATGGTTAAGCTGAGGCCTGAAGGAGGAATGGAAATCAGCCAGGCCAAGAGAGGCACTGCCTGGAGGGGGACAGGGAAGTGTTGCAGGCAGAGGGAACAGCCCGTACAGAGGCCTAGAGGGAGAGAGCATGGGGTGCTGGGGAACCGAAAGTAGCTCTCTGCAGGGGGAGTAGAAAATTACACTGCAGAGTTGGCGGGAGCCAGATCACGCAGGGCCCTGAAAGCCAAGTTGGAGGTTGGGCTTTGTCCTTAGAGTGATGGGGGCAGGTAGGGGGCAGGGGGCAGGTCTTAGAGTGGTTTTAAGCAGGAGAGTAACATGATTAGAGGCATGCTTGGAAAGATCACTCCAGCAGAGAGGTGGAGAATGCACTGAAGGTGGGGCAAGACTGAGGCTGTTTATATTAATCCAAAGGAGAGGTGATGGACACTTGCACTGAGGAAGGGAGTAGCGGGATGGGGAGAAGTGAGAGGAACTGAGAGAGATGAGGATGGTGTAATCAGTTGGATTTGGTAATAGGTTAGATCTGGGGGTGAAGGATAAAAAGGAGCTGAGGCTGGCTCCCAGGTCTTTGGGATCCATTGGGTGCCATTCTCTGAGATCCAGAACAGTAGGAGGAGCAGACAGGGTGGTGAGATGGCAAGATGCTGAGTTTTGGGGACCATATTTGAGATAGAGGTGTGTGGGAGACAGTGTTGCTTCAAGTGCCTTCCTGACTCCGTTGCTGGCTAATTTCTGTTCACTCATGAAGCATCACTGTGCGCTCTGGCCTCCCCCGTCTCTCGCTGCAGGTTACATCCTTTCTCCATGTGCCCACAGTGGCCTGGGATCACCCAATGATTGCCCTTATCCTTCTAGTATCATTGCCTGTTTATGAGTCTGTATCTCCCATAAGACTGTGAGCTCCTCAAAGGTCGTAATACTTTTTTCCATCTTTGTCCTCCCAGTGCTCATCACAGTTTAGGACCAGCTACAGGAGAAGCTCAGTCAATTGCACTGAATGAATGACTGAATTTGCTGAGGCTTCCCTGTGCCTGGCCTACTGGTGGGTACCGGCGTGCAGAGCAGAATAAGAGCTGACGTGAAACATACCCAAGTGCTGGGAGCTTGGTTAAGGGGTGTTCTAGACAGCCACTCAGTTGGCCACAGTAACTCTCCCTCCCCTCCTGGCCCAACCATCTCTGTCCTGACTAGAAATGGCTTTAGTGTTAATGCAGAGTGGAGACATAACATATAGAGAGAATTACATGGGATGTCAATCAAGACCTGGCTTCTACCCTGTCCTACCTCTGCCACAAATTAGCTGTGTGACCTTCAGCATGTCATCCTCCCTCTCTAGGCTTCAGTGGTCTTGCCTGTAAAACAATGGGGTCATACCAGATCACTTGTATTGATCTCTTTTACTATTAAAAATTCTTTAAAAAATACTTTAAAAAATAATCCCCACATCCAATGTTCAGAACAATGTCCTTATATGTCCAATGATTTGAAGGGTTATGTTAATCAAACAGATTGAGACATTTTTGAGGGTTAGATATGATTTCCTACATATGGTTAGACATGTTGAAGAAATCTGAAGGAACTTTGGAGCCTTCAGGGCCAGGGACCCAGGCAGGGACACTGGACAAAGCAACCTCAAAGTCCCTGTGAGTCTCTCATGTAAACAGTGGGGTCTTAGTCTTTGCCACACCCTACGACTCCCATCTCCTGGCCCTGCAGTTCTGACTTAAGTCACATTGGCTACTTGTTGACCAGGGAAGGGACTTCAGGCATCAGACAGGTAGAAGGATGGCCCAGTGTTGAAGAGACCCCACATGTCAACCCTTCCACCATCACACCTGGGCCATATTTAACCTGCACTCACCTCTCATTCCTACTTGGTATCCACCTCCTATTATGCAGGCCTGCAGGGAGGGACCTCAGCTTTCCCACAGGCTGTTGAAAACATAGTCCTCAGATTATAGGGAGCCCTGCTCTGCCCTGCCCTTCTCTTCTCTTCCCAGACTCTATTTAGAATTTCCATGTGTTAATATTACCAGATGACCACCATTTTTACATTCAACTTTCTCTCTGAACCAGTGCTACCACTGGCTCAGCTTTGACTCCCCCGGGCCACAAAACAGCTTGTGTCTCATGGACATGGATGCTCCTAGGGCTGCCACCTCCTCCCACCTAGGACCCTGAACTTCTTTGTATCTACCTAGGTTTAAATGTTGCTCAAGAACTTGCTTCAATCTTCTCTACCCTTTCTCAGCTCCTGAGTTCTCCCTTGGATGAGCAGGGCCCTACCCAGACATTTGGTGAGGGCTGCTGGGGAGATCCTTCAGCTCTCTGAGGACAGGCTGGTCACCAGCCCCACTTACCTTCCCAGAGAAGCAGCCTGCACAGGAACCACATGGCCATCCTTCTCCGGAGACTCAGGCAAACTCCCTCGACATCAAAATCCAGAACATCTCAGGCCAAGTGGATGTACGGAAGGAGCTGTGGTCCTTTTGGAAAGTCCCATGTTCAGAAGGAGGAATCTTGACTCAGAACAAGATGCCCCGAAAGTGAAAACATCCAGGGTAAAGTGGAAGTTGGCTGCAGGCCTAGCTGGGCTTTCGGGAGAAGATTCTTGTAAGTCAGCCTCTTTCATGTGCACGTTGTTGGCTAATGCATGGTGACCAGTGCCCCCACACAACCCACATCCTCCTTGCTCTCACCAGGCCTCCCTGCACCTGACCCTGCCCCACTGCTGCTGTCCTCCGCATCGGAGCACAGAGAGTCCTCATGAAGAAGACTGAACCCTGGGCTCAGCACACAAGGCTCTCCTGAGCCAGGTTCCAGCTGCTTCTCCAGGTTGGCCACCCATATCCATCCTGCTCTCCAGGCAGCCCAAGCCAGGTCTACGTCATCTCAGAACTCCCAGCTTCACACCTGCATGTGTTGTACTTGCTGCTCCTTCACCAGGCATGCTGTTCCACTTATCCTTCCAGATGGGGCATGGCTATGCAGCCAGCCAAGCCGTCCTTCAAGGCTTCCTGACCCCAGGCGGAGGGAGAGACCTCTTCCATGGCCCTGTGTGTGCCCACTCTTCCCACATTGCCCTTAGCACGTTGCTTGTAGCAGTTTTCTGGTCTTCACAGACTGTTTAGACAGCAAGGTCCTATATGCATTTCGGTGTTCCTCTTAGTTCTTGGCACATTATAGATGTTTAATAAATATCTGTTAAATGGGCAGATGAATTCTAGACATGGTTACACATTTTGCCCTATGTAGGCCCTACAATTCTTCTACAAGAGGGATCTTCTTGTTGCCCTGCTAAAGAGGGGGAATTTAACAACCAGAGTGAAGTTAGGCATCTTGCTGAGGTCACACAGGAGCAGAGCTGGGACTTGAACCTTGACCTTTGGAGCATGGTCTATTTTGCCACAGTCACCACCTCCCCACTCTCCCTGTTTCTCTTCTCAGTTTGAATTATTTGGTTTCTTATGCCAGGGAACGCTTTTTGAGATGTTGCCCCTTGAGGAAAATTCCTGATTGTCCTGAGTGTGGCTCACACACAGACCGGTGACTCTGGTCCTGTGTAGCTGTCAGTCAAACTGGATACTGTGCTTCGGACCCTGCGAGGAACTAGGCATATGGGATGGGGGGGTGAGCAGGAGGATTTCGCGATAGAGTTCCCTTCCTACGCTCACAGCCAAAACGTAGAAACAGATAAGCCAGGGAAAGTGAAGGTTCACCTGCAGACAGCCTCTGCTCTATGCAAATAGACAACACTGGTAGGCAGTGCTGCAGGAGTGAGTGGGGAAGAGGTCTCTGCTGATCTGGGCAGGGGACACTTCCTGAGAAGATGGAAGTCAAGCCACACCTTGAAGATGGGCATGATTTAGATAAGATGAGAAAAAGGAGCAGGCCAGACATTGGGGGTGAGCTCTAGCATGAGGGAAGAGCAGAGCATGCAAAGACTGGGCAGTGGGCAAGTACTAAGTAGCCTCCAGGGACAGTGAGGGACAGCAGGGAGGAAAACTTTAGGACCGAAATGGGAAGAATAGAAAGAGAAGTTGGGGTCAGATATGGTGGCCCTGAATACTGGGTTAAGTTATTCTGGAGACCAGTGGCTCTCAACCTTGTTAAGTGCTTAGATTCTCAGGGATGCTGGTTCAGTGCGGTGGGGCTAGGGCCCAGGAACCTGTGGTGTTAACAAGCAGTCCACTCCAGGTGAGTCTGTGGCTGGTGGACTGTGGGAATGCACCAAGAAGCTCTGTTTGAAGGGAGGGGGCCGCTGCCCATTTTGAGCTGGAGTAACTTGGCAGTGGGAGAACAGCAGGCAGGGCAGGCTGGGAGAAAAGAGGCAAGGAAACCTAGGTGGTAGCTGTTGTGATGGTTCTGCAAAAAGGAGAAGGGCCTGAACTAGGAAGGAAATAGCTAGCGTACAGAGGAAGGGACAGAGTGGGAGTCCTGGCAGAACTGAGAAGCTGCCTGGCTGTGGGGTAGAGGCCGAGGGAGGGGAATCATTTATGACTCCATTGTCAATTCTGCCATTCATTTGTCAGGCATTTATTGAGCATCTACTTAGGTGCCAGGTGCTGGGGACACAGATGAAAGGCTTGGCCCTGACCTCAAGGAGTTCACAGTTTAGATGAGGAGGTGGGATATATAACCCAATAATTACAACCAGGGTGACAAGAGCAATGCCATATGCATGCATGGGATGCTATGGGGGGACAGAGGACAGCTCCTGGCCCAGCCCCGTGTGTGGGAGGCTGGGAGGGCTTCATGGAAGGGGAGGTATTGAGCCTTAAGAATACAACAGATGAGGGTAAGAATTAAGAACTCAAGTTCTGTAGTCAGACTTCCTGAGTTCAAATCTTGGCTGTGAAAGCTTGAGAAAAGTAACTTCTCTGTGGTTCAGTGTCCTCATTTGTGACATGGGAATTAATAACTGTATGTACCTCTTAGTGTTGCCAATGAACACATGTGAAGGTTTAGAATGGGGTCTGGTACACAATCAGCACTCAAATATTAACCATTGCTACTAAATGGCCAGAGAGAGGGAAGAGGGGGATCCTGAGTAAAAACAGATAAGGGTATGAGGCTAAGTCGTGCCCTGTTCTGCTCTTCCTCCCACCTGAGAGCTCTGTGAGGACAGGATCAGGGCCCCTTCATTTCAGCACTCTGTATAGGCCAAGGTTTTCTATGAGGTGATGCCCTCCAGGCATCTATTGAATTGGACTGAATCATTCTGAAGTGTCAAGACCCAGGACTGGGAGGGCTGTGGGATGTAGAAGTGGGGCCAGCGTGAGCCCAGATCCCAAATTCCTTCGGAGAGACAGTGGAAAGTCATCACATTCCCTCTTAGCAGAATTGGTCCCCTACAGTGGTCCATCCAAGCAGGAAATAAATTTCAATCTTCCACCTACCCCTCCATCCCCACCCAAAACCCTTTTCCTTGAAGGTAATTTTGGGGAAGCTGAGGAAGGGGGTAGGAGAGGTTGGGTGAAGATCGGACCAAAGGGAAACACTTCCTGCCGTGTGACAACTGGAGAAAGACAGGCTGGAGAAGTTGGTGTTTCTTCCAGGTGCAGGGAAGGGTTAAGTCTGCGGCAGGTTCTCCCCACCACTGCTAATCACTGGTTCACACCACATTAATTACCCAGCCACAGGGGGGAGTGCACTGGAGTAAATTAGCTGGTGAGTTCAAAGGGGCCACTCCTGCATTCCTTAATTAAGAGAGCAGCTGGCAGCCAGGGCTGCTACGCCCGCCTCCCTGGGGCCTTTCTGGAAAGCCTGGAGTCGGCTGAGTCTGCTGCGTTGTTGAGGCAGGCCAGGCGTCGTAGCTGCATCTGCCATGTGGAACAGCCCGCACCTCACCATCAGCCCACCTTCACTGTGGGCCAGGGTGGGGGAGCAGGTGTTAACTGTGGCCACACATGCTGTCTGATCTCGACCATTAACCCTGAGCCACTTGGCGTAGAGAGTCAGGGCTGGGTGGAATTTGGGTGAGGGTGTGCCCTGAGATGCCCTGACTCTGAGGGCAGGATGGGGTCATGCTTCTCCCAGGGGGAGAGATAGAGGATGGAAAAAATGGTGGGGTGCTTGAGGAGTTGGGAGGGGAGAGTCAGGCAGGAAAGGAGGTGGAGGTGGAGGCAGAACAGCCCGGAAGGAGGGGCATTCAGCAGGCTTGGGGGCAGCCAAGGGTGAAGGAAGAGGGACGGGTGTCACTGGGGAGTGGGTAGGCCTCTGGGTACTGCTTCAAGGGGATGGTGTGGGGTGGAGTCGGGGTGGGGGGGTGAGGGGAGAGGTTGAACCCTGCCTAAGCCCTGTCTTTGTCTGCACTCACCTGATCTGTCAGCAGATCTCAAAGGCTGCCCTGTGCACCCCTCCCTAGCTAGCTAGCTCAGGAAGCAGTATCACAATATGGCAGGCAGTCTGGGTTTGAGGCAGAAGGAGGTTTGCCTCTGTCACTTCTTAGAAACACTCACTGTTGCTGAGTTCTGCATATATGAAATGGAGGTACCTTACCTCCCATGACTTGGTGCTGGCACAGCCCTGAGCCTTAGTGCCTTCTTAAGTTTTGTGCCTAAGCCACCTCTCCTGTCTCACTCTCATTCTGGCCTTGCTGGTAGTAGGTAGAGGGGCTGGGATCTTTGATGAACTAGGGGCATGGTGCACACAGCAAGAGAGGGAGAAACTCAGGAGAGAGCAAAGTCAGTGGGACGGAATAGCCCACAAGAGCCTGGGTGAGAGGGGTCTGCTGTTGAGGCAAAGATGCACCATCCCAGAGATTTGAAGGAAGGCTGTATAAAAAAGAAACAGAGCCACAATTGTGTTTTATTGAGGTAGACAGGGGGTAGCCAGAAGCTCATTCATGCATGCACTCATCACCAAACACTAATTGTGTTCCCATCTTGTGCACACCAATGCACCAAACAGTTATAGAGCATCGAACTGCATGAAGTCAGGAACCTGTGCTGATGACAGTGACTGTGATACTGATAGTAAAAGGAACAATCACTGTTGAGCTGTGCCCCACATGGGAGAGTTTTCCAGAAACAAGTAAGACATGGGCTGTTCTTTAAAGAACTTGAGAGAAGGATCCCTGTGAACAAAGGCACAGCAAGCAACGCACCCTGAAGAAGCAGACTTGCTGACAGCTTCAGGTCCCGCCAACAGCAGCTTCGTCCTGCAGTGCAGAGGTAGCAAGTGGCAGGACACAAAACATCCCAGAATTGGATGGAACAGCCTGGGTCTTTCCCATTTTGTACACACTGTTTATAATTACCTTCATCAAAATTGACACAAAGATGAAGGACATAGAGCTGTTTAGTGGATGCTCATTTAAATAAAAATGTAGAAGACCTTATTTCCTAGCCAAATCTAAACTAACAAACCTGGAATTGAAAGAAATCTCAGTGCATCTAACCAGCTCAGTTCAAGGAAGTTTGTATCTGAATTGTATAGCACGTACACAACAAGGACTGGGTGTTGATTCATATCTTACAATGAAGTTGTCTGCTGAATGCATCAGACAGCCACAATGTAGGCTGGTGCTTAAGTCCTTGACTGCCCAACAGTGCCACCAGAGGGCAGCCACGAGGCTCCCAGCTGTCATTTTCTTTCTCAGTCTCCCTTAAGGAGAGAGCTCCAGACTGCCTCTCCACCTTCAACCCGGCTACAGAGTTCTTTCCTCTCTCTTTACCCTTTAGGTAATGTAACCCCATAGGGCCCAGGTCCTGAGAGGAGACACAGCCAACTCACCTGGTTGGATAAGTGTTTGGATTTAGCTCTGACTTACAGAGAAAAATAATGTTTCACAGTGCAGAGCCTTAGGGGCATGTGGAGGCTGCTGGTGGGCAGTCCTGTGGCTAGTGTGGCCAGAGGCCAGTGTGTCAGGCTGGGGAGGGTTCAGGAGGTTCATGGAGAGGAATAGATGGGGAAGCACCTTCTGGTCCCCTCCAGCGCACCCTTCCTCAGTGTCTGCAGGTCTGTGCCTAGAGAACTGTGGAGGTTCTGTTCTGCCTTGCAGATGGCCCTTTGGCCCCTCCCCACTAATGCCCTCTTGTTCCAGCAGCCGAGGACTGGAAATAGGACTTTGGGGCTAAGTGTGCTGATATCGGGCAAACCACTGAGAGTCTGGGCCGAAGAGCAAGAATCTCCTTTGAAACCTCTACTTGTTCTCTGTTCTTTTTAGGATTACACCCCTCCACCCCCCGCATTTTCATAATAACATAATAATTGTTCATTTTGAAAAAAATCCCAGCTCATTTAAAAAAATTTTAACATTTACTTGCACATATTTGTGGGGTACAGTGTGTTGTTGCAATACATGCATATATTGCACAGGGATTCACTTACAGTAGGCAGCATAGTTTTGTAACCATTAGTCCACCACTTCTCTTTTCCTCCTCTGTTCTTCCCTCCCAGCCTCTGGTAACCATTATTCTACTGTCTACTTCTATGAGAGCCACTTTTTTTCTTTTCTTTTCTTTTTAGATTACACATGTGATTGAGATCATGTGGTATTTGTCTTTCTGTGCCTGACTTACTTCACTTAACACGATGGTTTCCAATTCCATCCATGTTGCTGCAAATGACAGCATATCATTTCCTTTTATAGCAGAATAGTATCCTACTGTGTATATATACCACAGTTTTTTTTTTTATCCATTCATCCATTGACGGGCATTTAGGTTGATTCCATCTCTTGGCTACTGTGAATAAGCATTATGAAGAACATGGGAGTGCAGGTGTCATTTTGAAATATTGATTTCATTTCCTTTGGGTTTACACCCAGTAGGGGGATAGCTGGGTCACAGGGTAGATCTGTTTTTAGTTCCCTGAGGACCAGATTTTCTAAACTAAGGGAACAGTTTTCAGCTGTGCAAATAGAGCTGGGGAGGGGAAATCTAGGGAGAGATTAAAGCACCTGAGAGACCAGGTCAGTAGGATGTGTGTGTGTGTGTGAGGATGTGAGTGTGTGTGTGAGGATGTGAGTATGTGTGTTTGAGGATGTG